TAATTTGAGTATTGTTAATCGAGTAGGGATTTTGTAAACGTCAAAATGAAATTTCCTACAGTAATTTATTAAAATTAGGTGGTAGGTGCCGCCGAATTGTTTAGGCACCACTTTTTTTATGGGATAAGCCGGTCAACGAGGTATCATCGAGGATCACCTGATGGTAAGCAAAGTGGCGCCCATGGTCACCTGTAACACCAAAGGCGTTACAAGTGCGTTACCGGCTTCTTGGGGATTAGGAATTTGAGAATTGTTGGGATTCAGGGATTGGGGAGATTGGGGAGGAGTGAAGGGGTAATTAGGCCTCCGATAACCTCACTCACACGAAACACAATCCAAGCGTTGTTTTACGTCAGTTTTCTGTGAGGCCGTGGTATCACTCCGTTGTGCCGGCCTATTTGTGCCGAAGCATGGCTCTCCCACACTTTACGTCAACCAAAGATTGCTATTATAAAATCTTTAGGAAAACCACTTAAAGATATAAGATCAACAGCCCGTTACTCCCGTGACCTGACTCCTATTAACCTCTGTTAGGTACTTCATAAGGCGAAGCGTCACCGATTCATGGTATATGTCCCACCGACACGCACGAAGCCCTCCGCATCAAGCATTCTTGTGCGTACAGAGCGGAATTCTTTGTCAGAGTTTGTATAACCTGGGTGTCTTCAAGGACCAAGTGGATATGTTGCTTAAGGGACGACGTGCTCCTCATCGCTTACCACCAGGGGAGATAGTGGTTAAACGTCGGCCCATCAAATATATAAAAAAGCAGTTGCAGATCCTTATTAAATATGTGGTCCTGGTCCCCTAGCTTAAGTCTGCTCTTAAGACATTGACACCCGAAAGAACAGGAAGATTAAAAATGGTTATCAATATTTTACATGGAGAAACTGATACGATCTCTTTGATTTAAGCTTATAACGATATGAATGCTCTGACTTGCAGTCTGTAAACCCAGGCGTCCCTCAAGGCTGCGTGCTATCGCCTACAGTGTTTCTCCTTCATATCAATGAAATGCTGCAAATCAGTGGCATTCATTGTTATACGGCGATGCACAGGCGATGCCCACTACACCGGCCGCGCTAACATTTTTCAGGAAAACGTCATAGAGAGCCGAAACAGACTCGTGTCTGAAATCGAGACTCTTTAGGGAGAATCTCTGATTGAGGTGCACTTAATATGGTCTAGTTTAACCCAACTAAAACACAGGTCTGCGTATTTATCGCTGCCGTTGGTCGTCATTCCTCAGTTTCAAAGCACCCCCCTAACTGCCTCAGCCGGTATTGGAATACTTGGTGTCATCATTTCGAGGGATGTCAAGTGGCGCGGTCATCTAAAGGATAATGCCAAATTAGCCTCGAGGAAGCTTGGTGTCAATAGATCGATGCAGTATTTCACTCCGGCCCACCGCCTGCTTCTATATAAGGCGCAGGTTCGGACCCACACGGAATACTGTTCTCATCTTTGGGCGGGCGGGGTTTAGCGGCGTGCTGTTCGGATTGTTGATGGTCGGGATGTTTCAAACCGGCTAGACACTTTGGCAATGCGTAGAGATGTAGCTTCGTTGTGCATTTTCTATCGCTTATACCACGGGGAGTGCTCTGAGGAATTGTTTGGCCTGATACCTGCCGCATCTTTTCGCCATCGACCCTAACGATAGCATATGCATCCCCATCATATAGATGGTTGGCAGGCCACAACTGTGCGCTTCTCACGTAGCTTTCTGCGTCGCACAGCAAAACTGTGGAATGATCTCTCGTCGGTGGTATTTCCGAACCGATGCTACCTTCAAACCTTCAAGAAAATAGCGTTTTCTTTTTTAAAAAGGCCGGCAACGCATCTGAGATTCCTCAGGTGTCGCGGGTGTCCATGGGCGGCGCTGATCGCTTACCATCAGGTGATCCGTCTGCTCGTTTGCCTCCTATTCCATAAAAAATAAATGTGAAAGTTTCTTTGTTTCGATGTTTGATGTTTGTCCGTCAATCACGTTGAAACTACTAAACGGATTTTGATTAAATTTGGTACCTATACAGGCAGGGTATGGGCTGACTTGACTTAGTTGAAAGGATACTTTTTATCCCATGGGATAAAATAGGTAATATAGGTATACGCGGGAAAAGTCGCGAGTAATAGCTAATTGCTATTATAAATGTAAAAGTTTCTATGTGTGTTTGTAACTCCTTCACGTCAAAACGGCTGAAGAGATCGTGATGAAATTTCGAACAGAGGTAGATTATGGTCTAGACTGGAATAACACATAGGTTTTTTATCCCACGGGAATAAGGGGCTGGCAGGAGCTAGTCTAACATTATGCAATAGCCACATCTCTATCACGACAGTCTAGTAATAATATCTCAATAGTTTTCAGTCAAAATTGTTATCTATCATGTATTAGGTACACATGCATACATACGTTTTTGACTGTTTAGGTTGTAGGTACTGATTACGTAGATAAGCAGTACACTGACTTATATTATTTCGGTACTTATTTTGGTATGTTTTGTAACTGAAATGTCAGGTGGAATACAGCGTTTCTTTATTTCCCAAAGGGAGTTTTTTTAAGGGGGGAAAATCATCGAATTACTTCTCCCGCCCCGGTGAGCCGGGAGGGGGTGTCAGGCTCTTACTGACTAAAAACCGTCGCGGAGAACCTAACGGGTAACCGGGGCTCCGACTCGACGTGCAGGAGAAGGAACGGGGTGGTTTTTAGTCAGTAAGAGTCTGACACTCCATTGTCATTTGATGATTTTCCCCCCTTAAAAAAAAAAACTGACTAAAAACCACCCCGTTACTACTCCTGCATTTCGAGTCGGAACCCCGGCGACCCGTTAAGTCCTCCGTGGCTCCGTTTTGGCATCAGCCCTATTGGGCCGCATCCGTGGCTTCTAAAGGGGGTGAGTAGATACGTTAGTGTTTGGCTTGTCTATCTCTTAATGTATGCTCATTGAAATCGTTATTTATGTCACGATTTCTTATAAATCATGTGATGATTGCACCTTTTGAAAATTTGTTTAATTATGTACCTATTTATTTTACTTTCGATTAGAACCTCAAAAATGGGGATCGATGGTATAGTTTTAAGATTGACATTTAATAAATAATAATATCAGTGGGTAGTTCCGTGTGTTAACTACCTATATTATGTAAACTACACAGAATTAATGAAATATCAACCTTATATCCAACAGGGTAAGAGAGAAACTCGATATAAACCGCAACCAATCCTAACATTCCACGAAACAATTCAGCAAACATGCTTCTATTAAACTGCCTATACCGGGAATTGAATCCAGAATTTCCGTGTTACTATCCAGTGTAATAATGGCTAATATCTTCAACTTAATACATATCTGATTAAGTGCATGTTAAGTAAGTTAAGCACAGAATAAAAATAAAATCACTGACAGATATTGTATCGACAATAACTAAAATTATCTGTTAGTTAAGCTAACGAAACTTTATCGACAGTAAAAAACATTGTAATACTTTTTTTAAAGCACGATAGTGGTGTTGAACCTCATGATTACAAAGAGGTTTTAATAAAGAGGCGATATACCAAGCTAACGCACAGGCACTAGGCAGTATGCATTGTGTATCATCGCTTCGGCAGAACGCGAAAGGACTGGCCCATACGCCATTCTGTACTAACAACGATAGATTGTACCGTGTGTCGGTGAAAAGAGACAAAACCATACCTAGTGCCCACCGCTACATTTTAACGCAAACGTTTAGATAGACGGGCAGACGGACTTTCTTTCACAAGGCCCAATCAATACAATAACAATCAAACAACTAGACGCTAATATACATACAAACGACTTTATATGATATCACCGTCGCATTAGACGCGAAAAAATAGCCTAAAAACATGTGCGATAAGTGTATAAAGCGTAGTTTAACTACAGGACGCTACAGCGGTTAGGCTTTGAGTGCACGGGGACGCGACGCGTTGTAATCTGCGATCAAAATGGAAGCCGTGTCCGCCATCTTAGGTCTGCCGCGAGCGAGAGAGCGGTCCGCTTCGGGAATTTGGGAAATTGGTGTTTTTTTCTGTTGTAAAGAGAGCAGTATATAAGAGGTCGGTAGGCAGAGGACAGGGCGGGCGAGCGGGGGGAGTCTCGGCACGGGCAAAGCGGTGTGAAGGGAAAGAACTGCGGTCGGTCCGCGCGATACCAAATGTCCTGCGATAAGTCGCGAGATATTTTGCTCGTAAATCAATGTCGCTGTTGTTCTGCTGCGAATGGGAATGTCAGGCTAAGATTTCATGTAAAACATTACCTGTTGGGGTCATTTTTGAGTTACGTAAGATATACAGTATGTCGTGTAAGCGTAGTTTTTTAAATTGAAAATATTTTTAGCTGTAGGTCTTTTATAATCTCATAACAACAATGGTTAAAATTGAACTTGTATTATTCCTGTTAAATGTAAAAAATAGTGAAATATGTACCTACCTATTTAAATCTTAATTAACTACCTAATTCGTAATTGCTGACTGTCGTCAGCAATTAACTTAAAAATTATAGATTAAACAATCATCGTGAGATAGAAATATGTCCGGATAAAGCGTGCGATACGGTGCATGTTGTTATCGCAATATTGTTGTGCAGGTAGAGACTCGAGCTCGCGACATATCTCGGGACGGGCGTCCGTTCTGGTCGCGCCTCGTGTACCGGCCACCTATCTTTCATTGCACGTACGCGCGACGCGCGGGGGGTGGGCGCCGCGCGGCATACGCGGGGCCATCTTGCTAGCGATCGTCGAATTGCTCGCGTCTCCGACACACAAATCGGTTTTAATTCGCACTAATTAACAGTTAAACATAATAAAAACAATATAAATAAGTGTCGTAACACGTCTAATTAGTGTATTGAACGTTGTGATCCGAAACATTGTTGACATAAATTGTGTGTTGTTGTTTTATGTGTGTGTGCATTCCAACTGTCTAGGTGAGTAGTCAGTAGTCTTTGTGCGCGACAATTATCATTCTGATCGATTCGGCCAGCGCGGGGGTGTGCACTCGGCCCGTTTTATATCTTTTGTTGTTTGTAAATCAATAATTTTAGTGGCGGCTAGCTGTGTCCCTCGCGTTCTTAACACAGTATTCGTGTGCCGACGAGGTGTTGCCGCGAGTTTTGCAACAGTTATTTATTAAACGTGATTATTTATCGTGCATCGATTGAGTACTGGCCGTGCGAAAGTTTGTTCAATATTTCTGCTAATTTAACCGTAGTCGAGTGTTGTGATCACCACATTCAGGTATACTATGCTTACGATAACGTTTACATTATTTTTTATTTATGTTTTTGTTCGTTATGTTTCCTTGTTCCCGTGTTTTATGTTAGTGTTGTTGCCAGGTGTGCAAGTTATAGTAGGTAATCGTTTGTAAATCACCAGTAACCGTTGCAACATCTAATATTAGACTAGTTTTTGTTTGAGCAAAGAGTTTATGTGTATGTAGGTACATAAGCACTTAATCGTATAATAAAAACGGTTCGACTTGACAACGCTTCGATATTAACAAGTAGTGTACACTTGAGATTAGATTCAGCTCCGTGTTAGGTCATCATACCGCACTTATTGCTTGTTATTTCATGTTTCGATACACCAGTAAGTCACGTAAAGGTGAAGTTATTAAAGAATTTTAAGAATTCTTCGAACAAATATGATCGGATTGCCTCGCTTTGTGCTAAACAAATGATTTGCGGTAAAAAACAACTGCTAGTTAAATGTTGCTTACCATAATCTGAATGTCTTGTTTTATTAATTAACATGCCTAAGTAGATACGTAAGCACGTTTTATTTATTACTTTTGTTTTATAAATTGTTGCTTCATTCTATCCTTGCCATTATTCGTCTTTCACTTACACTTAGTTAATTGTTTTCAAATACAGTACCACAATACCACATATTATATTTTTTTTAGAAATACCTGGTAACGTCAAAATAATTATACCACAAACACTATTTTATACATGATTTCATCAATCAACATCTCTATGGTATCAACCCGCCTACCTTGGTTGACACGAAAAAGTATTTAATGACTGATAATAACGAAACAAGGTCAATAACATCATTCATTCATTCATAATAGCGTAGTTTTACGAAAGATTAATTTTATAAATAAATATTCCTATCTCTACAATAACGTAATATAATATAATATAACATAGATAAACGAGTTGAATCATAGAGATAACAATAAAATGTAAATTAAAACAAAAACAACCCGGCTTGAGCGATGAGAGCGCAATGCACGGTTGAATAGGAAAAAAAAGTTGAGCATATTCAAAATTCGAACGCGTCCACCGTAATGGCGGATACAAGCACATCGAGCATGAAATAATTGCATTCGTTCACGACCGCGCCTTGTGAACGGCCTCTCCGGCATATTAGCTAGACATACCCATGTACTTTAGAGTTACTGCCTATCGTTATTACCCGAATACGTGAAATTGTGTGAACGCGATCTCCGAGTGAGCGGTGTGTTGCGCTCATCTCGACTTTGTCGCGTTGCATTCCTCAGTCAGACAAGACGGGTCATCGTTGTGTTTTTTTTTACGAACATTGGCTCGAGGTGCTCTCAGCCGCTTATTATACGACCAACGGAAAACGTCAGCTTCCAAGTTGAGTAAATGTAATTACTAATGGCGTCCATAAATTGTGAGGGTTACAATTTAAATGCTGATTCATCAGTCGTTATGGTTCGCGAGATTTTTATCGCTTCGTGCCTGCTAACGTTTTTCGACAATGAATAGTAGTTTGTTTATTGTACGCATTGAAATACTGGTCTAGTGCATATTCAATGAAATTGACGATACGACAGGTGTTTTCAATTATAATAATATTATTCATCGCCGATACTATTAATGGGGATACCTGTCTATAAATATGTTCATCATGGCTCAAAAAGAAAATAATGACATTAATGACAATTAATAATACTAGTGCTTCAGCAAATTTCTCTTCTAGAGGTGAAAATTGATCAACTAACATGATTTTATCCCGAAAATTGCCATTGTAGAACTCCTAAAGTTATGAAAATCCTAAAAAGAGCTAATACGAAGATCATTCTCATTTTCATATCAGCCACAATACGTCTACTGCTGAACATAGGCCTCCCCCAATGACTTCCAGATCCGCTAGTTTAAAGCGACCTGCATACAGCCTTGTGACCTTTATCAGGTCATCTGCCCACCAAGCACCCCAAGGAATACAATAATAGAAGTGTAGTATTAATGAGAAGATAAAATAATCTAATTCAATTCATCACTTTGTCAGTTAGACACGGAAAAAATAATGATGTTTTTAAAGCTGAAACACAATAAATATGAACGCAGAATCTAGCTGGAAAACGGTAAGGCCTTGTCCCAGATAGCTATACTCTCAGCGCTATAAAAGACATGTAAAGATCGATGCAATATATGATTAACTCTCATAGGCAAGCATTTGTCGTTATACTATTAAACACAGTAATCTATAGATCGTAAAACGTGGAGTGATCGTGTGGTAATCTTTCTATCATCAACTTCACAGTCGACTGCTGAACTTTAACTATCATCTCCTGTATTATGGGCCTTCACTATAGAAAAGGAGTTTGCCAAAATCTCAACACATTCATTCATTCATTCATAACCTCACACCTGTCTCTCATGGTGGTAGGTAAAGAATATGGAACGGCTATTGATACGATTCTTACTTACCTCTTTCGCTTCCTCGACAGCCAGCAGTCCTTTCATACATGATTGTCGGTTTAGGGTACTTTTAATTCATCGCCAATCTGGTCCATATAATATGTCCGTCTAGGGCGCCCTCTTCTAACAGTTCCGTATTATACTTCTTTCGTAAATCTTCTTTCATCCAACCTTTATACAAGATCTCCACACTTGACTGTTTTTAAAGGTTCAGGTTGATTAGAGATCGATACCAAGTCTCTGATAAACATGTCCTTTAGTTGGGTCTTAAGGCTCTTGCAAGGAGAACTGAGGTGATGAGAAATATAACCTACTCTGCTGACGTCACATGATACAATAACCCGAATCTTTCCTTACGTGTGACATGTTTGTTTTGATGTACTCTGAACAGCATTATCAGGCGTATGTAATAAAACCTTCGAATGATTTGCATTTTTGGTTGTCAGTCATATATTCGTTGATTGTAGTCTTGTGTAGGACAGTCCAATGTCAAAGTAAGTGCATTTTATTAATTTCAGCATGTTACAAGTAAACAGCAACTCTTTCTGATAAAGTCAAACCTGAAAATTGTGGCAAACCTTATGTAGGCCTGTTGATTTGATGAGCTTTGCTCCCTAACTTACAATAGTAAGTTTACAAGAGTTTCTACACATCTGCTTGCTACTTTAAAAGAAAGATAAGCTTAAGCTATTAGCTAATATTAAAGCTAATATCAACATTAAAGTTACGATCACTGTATAAAATAATAACTACAAGTAATTATGAAGCAATAATTGTTAAACTGTCAAACACCAAGCGGTCACCGGTGACCGCAACCTATTGTTCTATAATTGTGTCTACAAAACCGGTACTCGACGAGTTAAATTAACTATATTTAAGATAAGATATTATTTCAGTTATTTTTATATAACTATAAATCCGATATGTTAACATCATCATCACATAAGTGTTATCCAAGCATGAATAAGTAATGTTTTTGATACTTCTATATCTGTGTTTAGCAACAAATATTAATAAAAGGGTCGCCTGATTGTCACCCAGTCTACTGCCCATTTCCTATTTACTTCTGTACCAAAATTCATCAAAATTTACGCGAAAATTTATGATTTATATGACCAAAATGAATAACTAACGAATGTCAATCTAGATTGGTCCAAAGAGGACCGATCTAGTCTCAATCCAAATGTTTTGGATTCAAGATTTAAATCAGTTACTGATTTAGGCCGCAGCCGCAGCAAAAGGAATGATTGTAAACAGCGTAGATCTCCTATAATACTGTACTTTTTGTTTTACTCAAACACATTTGAACAGTCGGACATACGTTTACACAACATTATTTGTTCAGTTGAATATTGTTTACAAAAAAACTTCAAAGAGATCTAATTCTTGAATCATTTTGATAAAATGATATCTAATAGCAATAGGTTAAGGGCTTACAATACTGATCCGATATTCCGATTGTCTTTTCTCTGACAGCCAGTTTTAAAACTGCGTCAATGATATCAGTATGATTATTGGCTTAAATGACTTCACAATAAGAGCGGTTTTCGCAAATCAAACACAATACGTGATTGACATTATAAATTGTTTATTGTCTTAGCTACACACTTGTGCCAATACCAGTTGAGTTACTGTTGAATTTTACGTGTTGTGATCTATATTCGTAGAATTTATTGATTTTGAGCTGAAGAGAAACAATATTGAGAATGATTTTATTTGTACAAAATCGGGGAATCAAGCTATCTCTTTCAAATCGCCGCACGAGTGCTCTAAAGAGCGTCGCCAAACGGGATCTCTAAAGTTACCTACTTCTTTGTGTTTAAACAAAATGAGACTCAATGTTTTACCAATGACACTTTATTTGGAGTGTTATATTTAGAGCCTTCTTGATCCAATTTTGTAGAAGAGGCAGAAATTACACGAAATTTTCTTTATGAACTAGGCATATCCACCATTCATTTGACAGACTCATCTCTTACTACCGTGAGAATATAACTGGCAAAAACTAATGAAAACAGGTCTGTAAATTTGTTGGAATCTAAACCCTAATTACAAAAACAGTAAGACCTATTTTGTATTCGAAACGTGGGAAAACAAGAAACTGAAGAAAATATCAAAAGCCATCAAAGAGTTGCCCCATTGATGAAAAACAGCTTTCTCACTAACTATTTCACGCACGTATTATTTAATCGTCCATTGCTTCAGTACTATGAAAGAGGTCATTCATAGAAGTTTTCAAATCATCAATGAACGTAAAAGCGTGTCCAAATGAACTATAGTGCAGCCGTTAAAAGGTAATTTGAATCATTCTATTCATGGAATACAAGGTTCATTGTACCTATGGTGTTACTTTTTATTAATTCTTTCTTATCAATGGTGTTACGAATTGGTCTTGCTTTTTTGGTAGTTAATATCTTTACTTAAGCTTCATCATCATCATTCATCAAGAGCCTATAAATGGCCACTGCTGAGCAAAGCCTCTTCTCACACGGAGAAGGTTTGAGCATTAATCACCACGCTTGCTCAATGCGGGTTGGCGATTACAAACTTATAATTAGAAAT